AGTAAATGTTTTCTGATGCACCATCGTTTACTTTCTTAGAATGTGCTCCATTTTACCATTTCTTCCCTTTTAGATGTCACATATTACTTTTTTTTTTTTTTTTTAAGATTTTATTTATTTACTTGACAGACAGAGCTCACAAGTAGGCAGAGAGCCAGGCACAGAGAGAGGAGGGCGCAGGCTCTCTGCTGAGCAGAGAACCCAATGTGGGGCTCGATTCCAGGACCCTGGGATCATGACCTGAGCCGAAGGCAGAGGCTTTAACCAACTGAGCCATCCAGGCGCCCCATACATATTACTTTTAAAATAACTGCAGACATTTGACCTTCTTGAACCATAATATATATTTTTTTATTAACATATATTATTTGCTTCAGGGGTATAGGTCTGTGAATCATCAGCCTTACACAATTCACAGCACATCACAATTCAAAGCACATACCCTCCCCATTGTCCGTAATGCAGCCACCCTCTCCCTCCCTCCCCACCCCCCAGCAATCCTCAGTTTGTTTCCTGAGATTAAGGGTCTCTTATGGTTTGTCTCCCTCCCCAGTCCCATCTCGTTTCATTTCTTTCCCCTCCCCCCCCAGGACCCCCCGGCCTGTCTCTCAAATTCCTCATATCAGAGAGATCATATGGTAATTGTCTTTCTCTGATTGACTTATTTCGCTCAGCATCATACCCTCCAGTTCCATCCACGTCGTTGTAAATGACAAGATTTCGGGTTTTTTGATGGCTGCGTAGTATTCCGTGGTATATATGTACCACATCTTCTTTATCCATTCATCTGTTGATGGACATCTAGGCTCTTTCCACAGTTTGGCTATTGTGGGCATTGCTGCTATAAACATTGAGGTGCATGTGCCCCTTCGGATCACTACATTTGTATCTTTAGGGTAAATAGTAGTGTGGTTGCTGGGTCATAGGGTAGCTCTATTTTCAACTTTGAGGAACCTCCATACTGTTTTCTAGAGTGGCTGCACCAGCTTTGCATTCCCACCAACAGTGTAGGAGGGTTCATCTTTCTCCGCATCCTTGTCAACATCTGTCATTTCCTGACTTGTAAATTTTAGCCATTCTGACTGGTGTGAAGGGGGTATCTCACTGTGGTTTTGATTTGTATTTCCCTGATGCTAAATGATGTTGAGCACTTTTTCATGTGTCTGTTGGCCATTTGGATGTCTTCTTTGCAGAAATGTCTGTTGAACCATGACTTTTTAAATCTTCTTTTTAAGTCTACTTATTGGACGTGAATACTGAAAACATGTGGGTAAACATGTATTTGTACTTCAACTTAGATGAAATTGTCTTGCGGGAAACTAACAGTTCTCATGTCTGTTATCTTCTTTACTCTCAGGTAGTCCAGGGAGTTACAGTATTTTCACTGTTTCTTTCTACTGAGATTTTTGTGTTATTTGTTCATAATATATAAGATAAATATTGAGAATTAAGTTAAAAAACATTTTTGCCATGGCGAAATGAATCTAGAACATTTTTTGTGTAATAAATAGGTGATTATTAGGCCCATTGTTATCTGTCCAGTAGGAGATTTTATTATAGCTGTAGTTATAACTATTATAACTCTTTTTATAGTACTGTGTTTGGCATTAACTGAAACTCAGTTGGAACTGAACATAGTATGAACTATTTTAACTTGACATTGGAAAGGAAAGTGAAGAAAGTAGTTAAAAGAAGCATTGGTCTTTACATACTTGTTGAGATTAAGTTTCTATAGTGATCTGATACAAACTTTTTTTTTAAAGATTCTACTTTATTTATTTATTCATTTTAGAGAGAAAGCATGGGAGCATGAGTTGGGGTGAGGGGCATAGGGAAAAGGAAAAAGACTCTCAGGCAGACTCTGTGCTGACTGCAGAGCCCAATGTGGGGCCTGATCTCCTGACCCTGAGATCATGACCTGAGCCAAAATCAAGAGTCAGACCATTAACCAAATGAGCCACTCAGGTGCCCCTGATGTAGATCTTTCTTAAAATTAGACAATCCTGGTCATCTCTGCTATGACTTAAGCTCTTAAAATATAAAACTGGATATTTCTCAATGTATACATTAATATGCTTTCAGACATGAATGGATCTTGCAAGATGTGAGGGAGATTCTCGGCACAGACTTTTTTATACCATAGAGAAATGGGTTCCTTGAATAAAAAACGTTGCACCATCGTAGATGCTTAGAATTTGAAGGAACCCCGAGCAGTTAGTTACTACCAAATGTGTGATTCATCTTTACAATATTACCACTCACGATTTTGTATCAATTCAATACATACTCTCTGTATTCTACCTCAGTGTCTTTGTGTCTGTGTTCTTGATGCTATAATTTCCTTACTTTAATTTTGTCTTTTCACTCTTTTTCTATACCTTTGTTTTCTCCTTTGCTAATGAATGATAAATATAAAAGCAAATGAAAGGTTTTTTAAAAATTATTTTTCTAAAGGGATACAGTTCTACTCTTTTTCTATGAAGTTAAAACTAGTCTTTTGGTTGCTATTGGTGTGGTTAACTTCTGAGATTTGCTTTAAAATTATAGATTTCTTAAAACTATTGTGAAATAGAATCAGTTGTGTATCAAAGTGGCAAAAGTTGGTACTATGTTGTACTTTTTCAGAAATAGTTTATATTAGAACTGTATCTCATTTTCTAGACGTACTAGAATATTTCTTATTACCTAGAGAAAGATCTCTCAGCAGACTATAAGCAAAGATTTTTTTCCCCAGGAATTGATGCTGACTAGTTTAAGGGTCTTACAGTTAATTTTGTAGGTATGTGTTTGTTTAAGCACATACACTAATTTGGAAGCAGTATAGAGCATGTGAGAAGGTAGTCCGTTTACTCTAGTTTGTCTCAGGGTGGAGTTTGGCAGTGTGTGTGCCATCTTTAGTATTTAGACTTCTGGAACAATTATATATGCCTTCAGATATATAAGGTGCAGTTTGGAATACTGTTAAAGTGACATCAGAAAACTTAATCTTATGTGACTTGGCAATAATATAAATCTTAATATATGTCAAACTCATCATATTAGAGACTAGAACCAAAATAGATAAGTTTTACTTCATGAATTAAATTAGGGGTGCCTGGGTGGCTCAGTCATTGGGCCTCTGCCTTCGACTCAGGTCATGATCCCAGGGTTCTGGGATCAAGCCCTGCATCGGGCTCCCTGCCCAGCAGTAAGCCTGCTTCTCCCTGTTCCACTCCCCCTGCTTGTATTTCCTCTTTCGCTGTCTCCCTCTCTATCAAATAAATAAATAAAATCTTTTAAAAAACAAAAGAATTTTTTTGCATATCTGAACTGTGCCACACTTCATGCTGCTGAAAAATCTTAGACTGCTGGGGGGAATTCCATACCTAAAGCTTTGAGATTTCGAGATTAAATTTGTAAGGTATACTCTTTCTGGCAGATGACACAGAGCCCATAAGGTCTATGTTCTAACTATGTCTTAGGAAAGGATTCTGCCATTTGGAGAATATATATTTGGTTCACTTATGCTGAGTTTCTCCATAGCCAACACATTTCTTTTTTTTTTTTTTTTTTTTTTTTTTTTTTTTTTTTTTT